GAACACGGTTCCATTTTTTATCAACACAAAAAACAAAGAAAAGTAAACAGATAATCAAAGGAAAGGAAATTAATTCAAAAAACAAATAAAAGTAATAAAAAGAAATAAAATGATAAACGATTAAAAGAAATAACCAAAACTAAACAAACTATAACAGCACACAAACTAAAGACTGTGTACTAATTCCAAAACAAACGAAAGTAAAAAAAAACATAAAAAAGAACACAAAACTAATTAAAAAACAAAACTGAATCAGACAAAACTAAACAAAAAAGAAAATAAATGAAAACCAACTACAAACAAAACACAAACTAAAACAACTGATTCAAAAACAAAACAAAAACTATGCAAAAAGCTGAGGAAAACCAGCCAAAATGAAACAAGACAAAAACAAAACTACACTCAAAAACAAAATTAAAAATCAACCAAAACAAAAATGAACCAAACTTAACCCAAAAACTATTTTATAAAAACAAAACAAAACTAAAGAAAACATGTAGAAAGAGAATCATACATTTCAGGGTGCCTGCTTTAAACATTCAGTGTTTACATTCACATCACACAGATGGAACAGTAGTAGAAGCTAAATGCAAATTAATGTTTTGTTAAAGCTCAACATTTGTTCCTCTGCAGCTTTTGTTCATTCAATTCTCTTTTATCATTGAAGAAAGGCTTCTTTACTCGACAGAAGAGGAGGGAGAGCATGAGTTGAAAGTGTGTTTAGGAAATGATTATTGATCAGTCTTATAGGAGACCCCCCCCCCAGACCCCCGGGACAGATGGCACTCACCAAACCTTTCTTGATTTCTGACCCCCATCCAAAGAAGAAGCAAGAAGCAACAGGGAAGCACTTAACACACAGTGGCCTCAGTGAGAGCTTGTCTAGTGTCACACAAATCTGAGGAGTATCACTGCTTTGCATGCCAAGAGCAGGATAGATACATGCACTGTAACCTTCTAAAACACACACACACACATATACATATATACTCTTACTCTTATACACATACTCTTATACTGCTGCAGGATTCCTCTTCTGATTATAACAGGAAACTAAATCAAGCCGATTTTAAAAAAGGGTAAACAAAAGTATAAACAAAACAAAAACAAACAAAAAGAAATAAATACAACAATTAAAATCAAACAAAGGGAAGCAAATAATGTAAACAAAACAAAAAAAGTAAATTAAAGTAAAATAATGAAGAACAAATACAAACAAATACAAAAAAATAAAAATAAAAAATCTAGCTAAAGCAAAAAAAAAAAAAAAATCTAAACTTTTAAATCTAAAAAAATTTACATAAAACAAACGTCAAACATAAGTAAAGAAACAAATAATTACTAACAAAAAAAACTACACAAAGCAAAGCACATAAAAACCTAAAACAAAACACTCTAAATAAAAAAGCTAAATTAAAGTAAATAAAAAAATCTAAATAAATAAAAAAACACAAAATAAAATCTTAGATCTCAAATTAAACAAATCAAAAGTTAAAGGAAACTAAATATTAACAAAATACAATATAAAACAAAAGTAAATCAATACAGAGCTAAAAACTAAAACTGAACAAAAAGACAAAAGAAAGATTTGGATAAAGGTTTTGATCACACTGCATTTGTCAGTGTCCTTTGAAAAAAAAAATCGATAACTGAATAATATTCTTTTGTATGACTTTTCATTCTTTAATGTATATATTGTTTCACAAATGTTTCCAAATCCATGAGCTGGTATATAAAACAAAACCGAATCTCATCTTTTTTAGAACCTGTTTGCGGTCACTACATCGTGGATCTTACGGCATCCTTTACTTCATATGCGACTCCACCGAAAAACTTTCCAGGTGTCAAACACAGCGCAGTGAACCCAATCCGCTTCAGCTCCTTCTCTCTCTAATCTCCTCAAACTCATGCAAAATATCCCCTGCTGGAACAGAGGGGGGTAACAAAGGATGGAGAGGGGCGACAGCATGGTGTCTCCAGAGGCTTTGACACTTACACTGCAGCGTACAAAAGAGCCATTGAGGTGTTAAAGAGCAAACAGAAGCTGGCTCATTGTCCGGCCCATGAGCCGCTGCCCACCTGACGGACGGCTCGTGCCAGAAGGAGCCTGCTTTTGAGTGACACCGACACACTTCGGGGGTAAATAAATCACATTTGGGGCTGCGCTGAAAGGATAAACGTCTCTCTGGTGCAATCACTGTTCTCATAAATCCAGCATCCTAATTAGTGCTGCCACGCAAGAACACGCCGATGTGTGTTTTACCGATTTCCTCGTTAAGCGCAACAATGCAGTGAATGCATGTGAATAGCTGATCTAATCAATACTGTTTGTGTGTTCATCAATATTATTGACTGGATCTCATGAACCAGAGCAGGGGTCACGGGTGTTATGCAACGTTTGTGTTAAAGTTGGTAGACCCAGGACAACTGTTCGTCTTAAATCAAGTGGAAATCTTTGATGTCGAAGCGAAACTTGTTTGTTTACAACCTGTGCCTGACACAGATATTTTACTTATATTTATAAACAAGGAACCAGTCACGACACAGAAACTACATCAGTTCTGCTCTCACAACAATCACTTCTGCTTTCCATCGTGATGATGCTTCGTGTTTGGGGAAAAAAACAAACTCTTCCATACTTCTCAAGCTCCAAAACAAACACGGGCTGACATTTCAAGCAATGCACCGACCATTAGAAATAAACAGCTGGCGAATGTTATGCATTAGATCAAATTTGTGGCAACTTTGCAAACACAAAATGCCTGCAGACAAACAAAAGGACAGCTCCTCTCGTATGGAATTCATTTTGGGCCAGTAAAACGAACGCAATTTCAGCTAAAATTAATAAAGAAATCTATCTGAATGCAAAAATAATCAAGTAATTACTATAAAAATCCACATTGATTTTAAACACACTCAAATCTTTGTTGGTTTCAGCTTCAGTTTTGATTACGCTCTCAGCATCTTCGTTTTCCCTTTCTCATCTTTTGCTTGCGATCCTGAAAGGAACGTTTGTCATCCTGCCACTAGTCTCCCATGGGGGCGGGGATAACAGTAATTCGTCCTCATTGGCTTGTACGATTTTGATTGGCAGCTTAATGAACTGGATGTACAAGTTTTTTTTGTTTTTTTTTTACCAGTAATTCATTTTTTCCATATTTAAGACCAAAAATTTTGTCAGGTGACTTTTAAGACCCAGTTGTACCAGCGTGCCAAATTTCATTGTTTCCATAGAAGCGGTCCATAGGGCTGCAATTGACTTCCATGATGAAAAAAATAAGTGCCAACATACCTTCGGTGCTCGGCCCCTAATAAAAAAAAAGTATTTTACAGGTACAAAGTCAGAACTAAGGCTAAAAAGGTTGATGTATGCTCTCAAGCTGGGATTATACTCTCCGTGAAGTATTTTGCACCCTGAGATTTTCTCTGTTATTCTCTGTGTCGCTCACATATCGTTTTGTTGCAGTAAACACAAATGGAGACTGAGTGTACCGTGTTGGAGCCTGAGTAAAAAGATGTGTATAAACAATTTTTGCCACTCAAATCACTAAAACGGCAACTAGGGAAAGAGAAAAACATTTGTTGTGTTCATTCTCGTGGAACGCGACCGGGTATGACACTACTTCCCTGACGGAACACTGCAAAGGTCTGCAAAGCCAAAACCAAACTTCTGGTTTCAAACATCTGACACTAAACTACCGCCTTGTACACATGAATGCTGTTATTATAAATCTCTCCATCTCTCTCTCTAGGTTTAGTTTTTCTCTCTATCTTTCTATAAATAGTTTCAAAGCATGAGTCTGAAAATAGTTCTAATGTGGTCATGTTTGCAGAAGAACTTTGCTTTAACTTTGGGTGAAAAAGCTATTTTTTTGTGTAAAAGCCATTAACATGAGAACGTGGTACCTGCAAAGGTTCCTGAGGGTAAAGAAGCTGTGAGTGATTAGAGGAATAAAACAGCGGTCACACTGGAGCTCAAGACAATCTGGTTCTAATAGAGGACTTTCGGGCGATGGCAGGAAATAGCTGTCATTTCTGCACGGTTTCCTTTTGCAGTCTCCCTCGTTTTCCAACCAGTCTGACCTGAAACGCTATTAATCCTACTGACGCGAACTGTGCTTGTGTTCCTCCACTGACTACAAATAGCCAAATATAAGAAGATAAACCCATTTACCCCAAACCGCTCACCTTAGCTAAAAAACAAAGCCAATAACTACACAAGTTTCATCTATAAACCTCTTCACGTTAATGCCTTCAGGTGAAAAGCCAAGCTGTCAAAAACTGATTTAGTAACAGAAGCAGGTTCAGACGTGATGAGGCACCGCATGTGGAGATCAGCCCTGAAGAGTTTGGTAAAAGTAAAGGAGAAACAGAGGGCTTTAACTCTGAGGTGCGAGATCATTTTCCAAGCACACTCGAATCTGGAAATTGGTTTGATTCTTTCAAGTTAAGAGAGGTTCTTGCAGAATGTTTGAGGGGCTCAAATGGAGATAGTAGAAATGACATTTAAAACAAAATTATTGTTTTATAAAGCACATTTATGGAAAATTCCCAATTTTTTTGTTGCAAAAGAAAAAAAGATATAAGTTTGCTAAGTTCAATGTATTTAAAACTCTTGTCACTATTCAGCGAAAGGTAATGCAATACTCAAGTGGTTTTTAGAACATAAACTTTAAGGCTAAAATTATTTCTCTAATGAATTCTTAAGTTCTTCATGGATTAACTATGAAGTTTATCCTGCTGTATGGAAAAAATACACACTGCAGGTGCACCTTTACCCCGCAAGAAACCTGGAGAGCCTGGTTTCTTGTACCTTTCTTGTACCTGCTTTGAGATTATGTTTCTACAAAAATAAAAAAAATAAACAAAACAACAGAGAATGCTCTATTTTTATCATCAACTGTTAGAATAGCTCAAATGCTTCAACTAGCCTTGGTTGAGATAAACATTTACATACATTTACGCATTTGGATGAACGAACAAATTTTTTTGTCAGTTCTTGCTTTCCCTGGGATTTAAACCGACAACCTTTGCGTTGGTAGTGCAATGCTCTACCAACTGAGCAGCAGGAAAGATAAACAAAATAAACCATCAACTGTCACAAAATACAACACGATAATTAATGCGAATTCCAGCAGATTGAAGATTTAATTTAATTGGCGTCTTAATAATCTATTTGAAATAGACTCACCCTGCTGGCACTTTTAAACTCTAAAATATTATATTTTATACATGGGACATTTTAAATTCCAAAAATTTTGTATACAATTGAAGATATGGCTGCTGTACCAAAACTAATAGCAAGCATTATGTGGTTTTTATGTGGTTCTTTTTATTTTCGTTTTGTTCATCCTAGGAAGTTTGTTAACGTCTACATCTGTGTTCGGAGTTGGAGTGTGAAATACTAAAGCAGTGGCAGTGCTTGAACAAATCAGGACAACAATATGGCGGACGCATCGACGTCTACGATTGACAGAATCGAGTACAGCGATACAGGGGCCGAGAGGTCAAAATCGTAATTAGTTTTTCAATTATGTTTGTTTTGAGCACAGAATCAAAGATGGAAACGATTGAATGCTAAATGGATGATAGAGCCACCCAAAATAAAGAAGCAAGGATGGAAACGTTTTTAGGGGATTTGGATGAACGCCTGAGAGGAAGCAGACTCTGAAGTCATCGCTGGAGACACAGGCGCAGCAGAAGCATCCCATGGAGAGGAGCAGCATCTAAAAGAAAACACATGCAGCTCTTTTCCAGAGGCCAACGACTAACGCGCTCTCGTAAAACGCTTTGAGAGGCTGCTAATAAGGACCTGGAGCAATAATCCCAGACAGAGAATGTTGTGAAGAAAGCATGCTTTCCGAAGCATCTGCATGTCTTCATTTCAAAAATACACGGTAGAAAAAATCATCAAAGCTTTACTTATGTTTACAATAAAGGGGCCTTATTATCCATATTATCCAAATGAAACAAGTGCTGCACCTTTTATAACTTTCAAAATGCAATATTTACCATAATGCACATCTTTGAATATACTCAAGTCTCCCCCAAACAGCCGTTTACCCCTGTGGTCAAAAATCAAAGAGCATCTTTCTTTGAACACGATCAGCACAGTTGCTCTACATGGAAACGGGAAGATAATACGATTGGTTGATGGGCGGGGAACAAAACCAATGACGCAGAAAATTTCCTCGAGCCATTTTGAGCTCCCCCCCAAAAATATTATAGTTAAATACAACTTCATGCATGTCTCTAACAACAAGAATAGAATTGGTAGAATGGTCTAAAAAGTCGATTTTGCATGATACTTAATTTGAACTGTTGTATTGAATGATCTTATCATTTAAAGACTGCGTGATATTGTGCCCTGTATCCAACACATTTAACAGCTCAATCCAGTGCAAACACCTGGCCAATTAAACCACAAACCCTAGAGATATTCAGCCAAACTAAAGGATGCAGGAAAACTATGAAGCTTTACAACTGACTTGTTTTAGACTTTATTTGAATACATTGTTAATAAAAGGTCAGCAATCCCAACCGGACTCATTTTCCCAACCCAAGGATAAACACACACTTTTTGAGGGTGTAAAAATAGTGGAGGATGTCCTTGAAAGAAAACAGGAAGATCTGTCTGGCCTTAAACTCAGTTCAGCTTTCTCTCTTGACTCAAAAGCCTGCCTTCACCTGTTATATTTTCATGATCTGCACAATGTTTCTGTTTTGTAATGTAAAAATATTAGCCAGATTCAATGTCCTGCATTTCTGGAAAAGATGCTCTCCTTAGTTTTTCCTCTCCTGTGGTCCCACATATAATGTTCGCTTCAAATACATTTCTTTACACAAATATCTATACTTTCTTAGATTTAAAAAAAACATTTTAGTCATGTCCCCAGCTTTTTACTCATTCCTATTACCCTAACCCCTCCCCCTTTTTTCAGCAGGTAGTTGCATCCACGATTAATAGCAATTGCAAATCCGCGATTGCAATATCGCAATTATGCAAAACAACTGACATTTTTTCACGTGTGACGCAAGCGGCATCAGTGCAAGATGGATGCCAAAAAGAACAATCACACGTTATTTCATTGTTTTTTAGGGGTTTTATTTGACTGACAGAGCAAAAAGAGGCACTGCGCAAGATATCAGTGAGGAAAGTTGCTAGTGTTATTCTCCCTGTTTGCACAAAACATTGTAGCTTTGACAAAGTGTATGCTTTTTATTTAATTTCATTTGGGTGAATTTTTAAGAAAATAATAATAATGATGATACCATGATATCTTTTATTATTATCATCATAATCGCACATCGCAATAGGAAATCGTGCAGCCCTTGTTCTCTTAATTTCTTATTGGTAAACAACTGAATTTGCAGAATTGCAATCGGTTTTGAAATCAAGTGAAAAAGAAAAAGGTTTTACCTTCTAATTGTAAATGAAACACTAAACAGCATTTCATCAAATGATCACCACTTCTCTTTAAAAATAAAAAAGCTCTGTGAAGCGTTGGAGGTGCAAGCCGTTTAAGTGATGAACTGCATCTGCTGAGACACCTGTGTCAACATGAGCAGACTTTGTACTTGCACTAAAATTACTAAAAGTAATAAAAGTAAAGTGCTTGATACTTGTGGGTAAAAGCACGTTTTCAAAAGAAGAGCTTGTGTTTTCTCTCCAATTAAAACGAAGAAACATGAGCCCTGGATATCCATGTTTCTTCTTTGAATTGATCTGAAGTTCTTCAAAATGTGATGATTTGTGCTCAACAGAGACACGTTCTTCAGAACAGAGCGCATACTTTGTGGGCGAAATATCTTTTTACACATTGAATGTAAATTATTTTGAGAAAGCAGCAGCTTGGACGCTTCAGCGGCAGAAACCTGAGCCTTTGGGTTTCAGAGCCAGCTCAGCGCCTGTCCCCCGGGTGAAAATTACCCTCAACTCTGACCCTGCACATGTTGGTAGAAACAACACCCCACCCTTCCCTTCAACCTCCCCCTGTGTGCAGGGGCAGCGTCTGTGGTTGCATGACCTCATCTGTGATGTCTGTCTTCACAAATCTGAGCCGTTCAGTTCGTTTTGTTCCAGAAACCGTAGTTAGAAAGCATAAGCACATTAATTAAAAGTTTATAAAGTACCCGAGTTTAACTACTTACTGTGAATGTCGGAGCCACACAAGGTAGTGAGAGCACAAAGTACTGGGTTGCCAGGTTGACATAGGCGTTGCGGAAGGAAGAGATTGCCCGATGGCCCTGGACAAGCTTGTAGAGCTCCAAACACATCAGCCCGGCGATTGCAGCTGTTGTCGTGGCGATGGCTGGAATGATGCGGCCTGCAATTAACTTGCTCTGCAGATAAGAAAAGGTTTGAAGTATGAATCGATTGTATGTTACACTATTTGGTCATAAAAAGAATTACTTTAATTTAAATGGAATGAATCAGATAACAGTTGCTTTCTAGTATTTAATGCACTATAGAGGGCTAAGGTTTGTCTAGTGATGTTATAAACAATTTAATTTGTTACTATGATTAACACAAACAAACCCCCATTTCTCTGTGATGTTTCTTCAACCGCTTCTAAAGCCTGGGGTTCAAATACTTTTGCACAGTGATTGGTAGATTCAGGCACAGACTGAAGTTTTCTATTAGGTTCTGGGTTAGAGTTACAATTTTACAAAGTTTGACCCCATTTTAAGTCAATTAAAAATGTCCCAGAACTCCTTTAGTGGTACAAGCCTGAAAGTAAACAGCAACCCAAGCCTAAAGATGTAGAACAATTTGGATATCGCGCCAAAGTTGGTGGCTAAAACCTCAAATGATCAAGCAAAAGATGGGTTTTGAATATTTTTGTCCAAAGCAAAAGATGGACAAAAAAATTAAAGGCAATGTAATAACCTGTGAAAAAGCAAGGCCACAGAAAATACAAATAAAAAAATATCTTGCGAATCAGGTGAGATGTTTGAGATGTAGGCAACCAAACAACGGTTGAGAAAGAAATGAACACTTAATCTCCACAAAAAACAATTTCTTGAATACGAAGTGAGTAAATGGCAATTTTTTTTTCATTTTCGATTAACTGGCTTTTATAACCAACCTAAAAAACAACACATAATCAAGGGTCGAGTCTTTAATAAACAAGAGCTTGAGAGAGCCGACTACACGATCGTCAGAGCAGTCGTGTCACAGGTCCCTTCAGACTGCAGGACTGTCTGGAGCAGCAACAGTTGTAGCTGAATTCACACAGCACGAGAGATCACCGACAGAGGAATTCACACTGCATGAGTTTAGACAGAAACACAGACTGTTCTCTAAGTGCATTTCAATCTAGAATTTAATTGAGAACAGTCAAGTGTGCCAAACCGAAGCGGAAGCCCAGGATTATTAAAGAAAACGGGAGCGGGCAAGTTTTTAATTCATTTAATGAGTCCAAAAAAAGAGCCACTTTTGAACCAAACCCACTGTTTATATTGCCGCCTATAACTTCGTATCTCCTCTGCAACTTCACGATGCCCTGAATGTAGCTTTCTCCTTGACTGCAGGTAATCACAGACATCATTTTTCGGTCAGAACACATTCACACTTGCCGATTGGGGTTTGCCGAAAGCTCTAAATTTTTAGCACATCAAAAATCTCACGACCAGCCTGCGACTCTTGCAGAGCATGTCACACTGCTCCGATTTGCATGCGATTCTAGGTGGTTGCGATTTAAAACCGGGGCTTAAATCAGGGACTAAACAGCCTTTGGTCTCTGTTGAAAAAGAAAATGGGATTCACCTTGTGGCGATCGGCGGTGGGAATATCATAGTTCTCTGCCCTCAGATTGGAAGCCGCCACTATATAGTCCATGTGGAAGTTACCGTCATCATCCTGGAACACAACAATTATACAGGAAATAAGGTTTTGTGATTTTAAGAATGGGTGTACAAGATGATCTTGGAAATAATGTAAAATAATTAAAACTTCATGAAAGTGTTTCACACTGCCCCAGTAGCTCTTACAGTAAATCCTGACATCAGTCAGCTTCAGAAACATTCATATTTTAAAAAAACAATTAATGACGATGTACCGTATTTTTCGCCG